TCTCACTCTTTCCCCACCATTCTTTTTTGCCTTTTATTCTTTCTTTAGATGTTTCCTGCAGTGGGGGTCTGATAGTGGTAAACATTGTCTTCACTGAAAAATATATTTCATCTTTAGTTTTGTTTTTTCTCTTTTTTGTAGTGCAAGCTAGCCTTGAGCTCACTATGTAACCCAGGTTGACCTTAAATTTGCTGCGACCCTTGTGCCCTTTCCCCACCATTCTTTTTTGCCTTTTATTCTTTCTTTAGATGTTTCCTGCAGTGGGGGTCTGATAGTGGTAAACATTGTCTTCACTGAAAAATATATTTCATCTTTAGTTTTGTTTTTTCTCTTTTTTGTAGTGCAAGCTAGCCTTGAGCTCACTATGTAACCCAGGTTGACCTTAAATTTGCTGCGACCCTTGTGCCTCAGCCTCCAGAGTGCTGGGATTACAGGCATGTACCACCACCACACCCAGCTCATCTTTAGTCTTAGGTTGATACTTATTTATTTATTTTTGGGGTATGGGGGATTGAACTCGGGACTTTGTACTTGTGAGGCAGGCGGCGGCACCACTGAGCTAAATCTCCAGCCCATATTATTATTTTAAAATTTTGAGATAGGGTTGTACCAAGTTGCCTAGTCTGGGCTTGAACTTTTAATCTTCCATCCTCAGCCTTCCAGAGTGCTGGGATTATAGGCCTGCATCACCATCCTCAGTTAACTTTTAAAGAAATTACTGGTGTTCTAAAGTGTTTGTGCCATTTCATGTTTCCATAACTAAGTATGAAAACTCCAGGTGCTTCATATTCTTGCCAACACTTGGTAGTATCAGTCTTTAATTCTGGTCATTCTTACAGAGGTGGAGTAGTATCTAGTGTGGTTTGAATTCATGTTTTCCTGATACCTGATGATGCAGACCATCTTTTCATGTGTTTTTTTGTTTGTTTTTGTTTTTTGAGGCAGGGTCTCTATGTAGTTCATGTTGGCCTGAACTCACTGTATAGCTCAGGCTGGCCTTAAACTTTTTTTTTTTTTTTGTACCAGGGATCGAACTCTGGTCCTTACAGTTATGAGGCCAGTGGTGGAACCACTGAGCTAAATCCCCAACCCTGGCCTTGAACTCTTGACGATCCTCCTGCCTCAGCCTCCTGAGTACTGGAATTACAGGTATCCACCACCAGGCTGTTTTTTTCATGTGTGTATTGACTGTATCTCCTGGAGCAGCTTTGTGTTTGCTTCTGTTTGGCACTCAATACTATTCCTATCCTAGGACCAGTGTGTTTGTAGTTTTGCTCTATTTGTAGATTTCCAGGTCATAAATGTATAAATTTGAGGGGCCGGGGGATTTAGCTCAGTGGTTCCCCCGCCAAACTCGCAAGGGCCAGGTCCCGAGTTTGATCCCTGGTGCCAAAAAAAGCAAAAGAAAAAGAAATAATAATCGCATAAATTTGAACTCCAAATGCACTGTTTTATATACTTGTGGTTTGAATTTCTAGAAGATATTTTTTCCCCCTACTTCATTAGGCGAGCAAGGCAAACTTCCTTATTTCCTTGTGGATGGGTGTTTTTAATCTGTCTTTTTACTGGAAGGGT